ATCACTTGTGGATAAACAGTGGATAAAATGTGCAAGTCTGGTGCTACGTCTGGAAGATTACCTCCAGAACCACCTCATGCACTTTGAAACTGCATAAATGGTGTAAATCTATTTGACAGATTAGCAAACTGCTTCTTTTTTGTGCTTTTGTGCTACAGACAAATTTAGAAGTCTATCTGAAGTGTATTAGTTTCCTCTAAGCACAATCAAAGACCCCAGATGTTGGACTGCTGGTAGCACTTTACATGGTAAAAAAACCAAAACATTTGTGCAAAACAAAGAGAATTATACAGAATACTTTGTGCATACAACGTCACAAAGATTAAAACAAGATTAAACACCATTTTATAGTACATGTTACACTTCCTATTGTATTCTTCACACAAGGTATGGGCTGGGACCAGATTGTCTCGCCATTTGGTCCAGATGCTTACTGAGGTCTTTTTGATCAGTTTACATAGTACATACATAGGCCACACACATATAATATCCAGTATACCAACTGGCATACAAACATAATCATAAAATTATATTCGATAAAGTTATGTAAAAAGCCTTTCAATAAACATACCTTTTCAGAAGCGGGTTAATGTTGAGTTCACCAGACACATGTTTTCCCTTAAAATTCAGAATAGCTATCACCATCATTCCAATAAAATATTTAATGATCACAGTGATCACATTACACACATGAGTCTTATTTTGTCAAAGGTTTTCATTCAACCCAGCATCCCACTGGATTGTGAGGCAGCTAAATGTCAGTCAGTGCAGACAGTCAGTGACCAGTGTTACAGCTGCACAATATGTATAATATGTAAAATATGTATAACGTATAATCATTTCTTCTGAATATAAAATATTAAAATCATAATGCGGGTTAGCCAGTATAGCTATATCATTTTGTAAGGCCTGTAAGCTAGTGCAAGGAGGAAGGAGAAGATGTTTTGCTAATAACCAACATAAATTAGTTACCATTGCAGAATCAGGTGCAGTGAGGCATTATAAAATGGATATGGACCATTTCGGCAACATGAAGGAAAGGAGAATGGACTTCTGAGTCAAATACACCTCTGTCTGTATTTCTGTCTCTTTAACAATGTGTGTGTCATTGATGACATGGGGGTTATATTTCTTAAATATACTGAGTTGAAAACGGTTGTTTTATGGTGCATTGTCTATATAGACAACACACAGGGGCAGATGCTACTGAGGCTTTGAATTAAGTTGGAATTAATTGTTTGTTCAGTCACCTGTTGATGTGATCATTTGTGGCCTGTGCAGAAGCTCTGCCAGCACAGTTGCTTGTTAGAAATGCACCATCCTCTTTTGTCATTAAACTCTGTTGTTTAAAGAGTATAGCTTTAAAAAGTAAATAGAATACTGTAAGCCTTAACGAGGGGTTTTATGCCAAGCATAGCATGCAGTAGATTAGAGTGTGTAACATTAAGTCATGTATTTGATACATGCATGGATACTTTTCAATGTGGCTTTGAACTCTATGAATGTTTGTGAATCTGCCTTTTTAGTATTCAGCACTGATCTGTTCTTGAATCATGGTTTATGATTTATTAACGGTGAATCTGTCAATAATTGTTTATGATTAGGCAATTCATTGTTATTCTATAAAGTCTCAGAAATCTCAGCCCAATGTGATGTCTGACCAATAATTAACAGTAATATCAAACAGATAAAGTAGCAAATCCACAACATTTTAATAGTTTGAACAAGAGAAGAGGTTTGGCACGATTACTGGATAAATGAGTCAAATTATTATTCCATGCTTAAAATTGTTGACGATTACTTTAATCATTTACTAATCATTCCAGCCTGAATGATATGCCTCTAGCAAATACAGATGGAAATTATAATAATGTGTAATGTTCCTAGTGAATCTGTCATAGTCATGGGTATGTTGATTAGTACGAGAGGACAGCGGAGGAAGATTTGAGCACCAGATTTACCAGCTGCATGTGTTCAGTTAGAACCATGCCTGACCAGACTGCTGCCTCATTCAAATGGACACAGCAGCTGTGTATGATACACCTGACATACAGATGGAGATGGCATGAAGGTCGCTACGCTGGGAGGCGATTTCACCTTCTTCACACCCCAGGTGAACCCCTGAGACTGGGACTACTACCTGCAGATTCAGAGGCCGGTGAAGAGAGGTTGACATGACATGACATGACATGGGTGGGTTTGAATTTATAGCACGACGCACACTTTCAGGGGTGGAAGAAATACTCAAACACAGTAGAAATGACAGACATCGGCCCCAATTTTCTTTGCATCAGAGCACAAATACTGAAGGTATTTTCAATACTGATTGTATTTGCACACAGGGATAATGTTGAAGGTTAATGTCTTAATGTTAATGTTTAGACAAGGCCTAGTCTCTGAAAAGCTAACGGCAATATTTTATGATCTCATTTCATATTAAAAGTGACATCTGAATCTGCAAAGTAACTTGTAACAACAGCCATCAGAAGAAAAAGTACAATATTTATTTTTAAAAAGCAGAATGTCTGCTTAAATGGTAATGCTTAAATACCACCTGATTAAAATGGTACATACTGTAAGTCCAGCACCTGCTGGATGAGTTACTTACCCCTGTGCACACTAAATCACTTCAGTAATGATTAGTTGTCCCAGAAAAGCATCCAAGAATACTCTGCCTAGCTTAAATATTTTGATTAGATTTTTATTGTTGATTCCTGAAGAACACATGCTGTCTGTGTGCCCTGGCCCAACCCTCTATTGTTTCTATTTTCAGCACAAATTAGGGCACAAACAATTTGTGCTGTGAGCTTGTTCTGCTTCTTGAGCTCTACTTTGGCACAGTCATGTTTCACAGTTTCTGTCATTAAGACAGCAGATATTGAGAGCCACCTTGCCCAAACCCATTTTCTTGAATCTGTTTTTAGGTGCACACCGCGTCCAAGTGTAGTGTGTCTTGAGCTTTATTCTAAATACTTTACTATTGCTGTTACAGCAAGTTGTTGAACTTCCAGACAAATAAAAACATTATTCTCTCAGCATCCTTCATGACAGCAGAGTGATAATATGTATCATACGTCTGACGAAAGTATAACCAGTTTGGACATTTTCCTCTAGGATATTACTGTTTTATTCTCATTTTTATTTTTGCTTTTCGGATGTTGTTTTCACAGTACTCCTACATCTTCCTTTGTTTGGAAAGTACATTGTGCTTTTTGGCCCTATTATTGTGGGCTTTGTGTCCTTTGAGCGCCATCGTGTGGTGTTTTCCCAAGTGGTAAGTAAAGTGAAGAGACTTTGTATGTCCCATCTGGTATTTTGAACAGCCTCTACAGTGCACCTTTAGAAGTCATTTATGTATATTACTGAGCCTTAAAATTTTGTTAAAAGGAATAGTAGTAGTAGTGTAGTCAAGTTTAAGACTGGACAGGGAAGGGATTCGAAGAGACTGACAGGCACAAATATGGAGGACTCAAAGGACAAGTTACAATTTTTTATTTATAACAATCATTAGAATTTGATGTCATCCTGTGGGACCTTCATTACTACATTACTATACATACTCCCACACATATGACACATGTATTTGTGGAAAGATTGAATTGAAGGTACAGTTGTGTGCGTGTACGTAGATTTGACACTAGCACCCTCAAGTGGTACAAGGCTAAACTGCTTCTTATCATATTATTATTTTCTGGCATTCACTCTTTGCTCTTCAAACAGCGCTGCACTGCTTATTCAACCCTCTTTCTTTAGTTTTTGAGGAAAGTGGTATCCAGTGGCTTAATCTTTCAATCCTGTGGCCGAATCCTCTTATAATAAATAATATTTTAAAAATTGTTGGAACCAACTAACAGACCCTTAAACTTTAATACCTTTAGCCTGTAAATAATCGGCAGTAAAGCAAGGACTGTTCTGATGATAAACTGCCTTTTTCGTATACAGTTTGTCTTTGACAGGGTGAGTGCTAAGGTGGCAGTGTGCGCTGATGTGCCAGATGGTGGCAGTCTATGAATAATGCATCATTGCCTTCAGTCAGACAGGTCCAAGCTGATCTGAGGTCAGCTGAATGACACAGGTGGCTTGCTGTGTGGTTCATGCTGAGCGGTGGGTTAGACCACCCAGGGGTGAGCTGGGCAGGCTGGCTTCTGACATGCAGTACTCATGTCTGTTACAATGTCTTTTATTAGACTTTTATATGAAATCAAGAAAATGTATCATGTTACCCTCCTTTAACATCACCACAGTGGTTGGCCATTCGTTTTACTTAAATCATATTGAATTATTTTCATGGTCAGACTCCAGTCATTAGTTCAGAGTTGTTCTGTCCTTACCAACCTGCGCACACTCAGACAAGAACCTGCTGTTCCCATGTCTAGGTTTAAGATCAGATGGATGTGCCTTTGCTGTCATTGCTCCAGGCTCAAGAATTACCTGCCTGAGGAGAACAGGCTTCCAAATTCTTCCTTAAAGTAGAAAAGGGCAACAACCCTATACACATCACTGTGGTGAGCAGGTTTGTGCGGTTTGTCTGGTTTTGTCCAATGTATGTAACACAGTTGGGTGAGTCATGCAAGAAGATATTTAGTGTACCAGAGCCTTTCCAGGGAGTTACCCCGACTCTGACCTGCATCGAACAGAACCTTAATTAGTATCATGGGTAACACCTGTGTTTATCCCATTTCATGTCAAATGGTTGCTGTGAAAAAGGCCTAAGCACTTTTAATGGACGTATTTTAAGGATTACGTAGTACCCAGTTTCATGGCTGTGGGTTGCAGCGCTCTCCCTCAGTACTGGACCAAATTCAAAGCATGTGGTCCCCAGTTGACAGCGTGACAGAGAATATGGGAAAATATGGTCCAGGGAAAAAAAATTGCCTTGTGTTGTGGAGAAAGTGTTGAGGAAGGCATCGAGGTATGTTAGATAGAGACATAGAGAGAGAAAAACAATTGCTTTTTCCTCATAACTCTTTATGATAAGGAGAAAAACACTACAAATACCATATTGTTATGTTTTCTTTTAATGTTACTATTTAAAGACAGCTATCACATATATGCATTCACATCGGCTACAGTCAGTTTTAACACTTGGGTCATTTCTTTGAGTCTGAACACAAGCTTTATCCTCTACCCCCATAACCCTGTAGGTCTGCTGTCAATAATAATGATAATAAACGGTATTTATAGCACCTTTCAAAACAGTTACAAAGTGTTTTACAATTAAACAGAACACATTTAAAACAAGAGAATAAAATGAGCCATAAAAACTAAACACATTACAAAACAAAGAGTAACATGAACTCAAATAAATAAGTGGGTTTAAAAGTGATTTAAAAGATGAGACAACTGTTTGGAATTATCTACCTGAGGAAATCAGAGCTGCAAAGTCAATGTGTCCTAAATGCAAAAGCTCTATCACCTTTGTGTATCAATCTGGACAAAACTGGCTCAAGGCTGGACAAAGAAGGGGAGAACACACGAGTTGTACTAAAAATATGTTTATTTACGTTATAAAAAAAGAGAAATTAAGAGAAAGACAAACGAAATTCAACCAAACCAAACTGGGTGAAACCCAAGGGAGCAAAAGAGAGACCTGCTGATTGCCTCCAGCCTATATAGTCTTGGCACCAGACCAGAACTGAATCTTGCTGATGAACCAACTGCCCCCCCACCTCTTAGGGAGAAACCTGCTCATTGGGTCATCACATGAAACAACTGGGAACGATGCAGCCGAGGATCTCAGAAAGACGGAAGGGACATAGGGCACTTAAAGATCCGCTAAATTGCTTGGGGCTAGGCCTCTAAGAGCTCTGTTACTGATCAATAATATCTTAAAATCAAGTCTAAAAGCAACAGGTGGCCTGGCCAGTGTACAATGTTTCGTAGTCCGAATCAAAGTCCTGGCAGTTTTGGATGAGCTGGAGATGGGACAGAGATTTTTTTACTAATGCCAGAGAGCAGGGAATTACAGTAATCTAACTGATTGGTTATGAAGGCGTAAATAAATATTTCCAGATTTTTGGCAGAGAGAAATGGTCTTATCCTTGAACAGCAATGCTAAGTTATTGAGCAGGATCGGGAAACAAGACTGTTTGCTATTTGAGAATGTCCACAATCATGACCTTTTGATCAATATCTGTCTTATCAGCATTTTGCTGCAGGAAACTGTGTGTGTCCACTGCTGAAAGGCAGTTCAGCAGGTTGACGTTGTTCTGATAGTGATTTGCAGGGTCACAGCTTAGGTAGATCTGAGTATTGTCTGCATAAAACTGGAAATATGAGGTGACCAAGAAGGAGTATGTAAATGGAAAAGAGAACCGGACCGAGCATCAAACCCCTCATGTTCAGTACAGCTGCGTGATGCTTTTCGCCTAGTTTCAGCAGCAGACACGGTGAGGACCACAGATGACTGGCTTTCAATGTCTATTTGGTCATCCAGGCTGTGGTGAAACATCCCCTCCCAGAAGAAAGAAGGTTTCCATGGCGGCCCTACAATGAAAGATGGAAACAAATATGTTAATCAGCCATATGTGGAGGGAATTTACACTGTGTGCGGTGGTCTGTTTTCTTTTGTGTAGTTTCTATTCTAATAATAATTACTACCATCACTCAATCAAAAATAAATCAACTACCATATTTAATTATTATTTTTATAATTATTATTGATTTGATATTAAGTACTTTTGATTTCTCTGAAGAGTATACGGAATGAACTAATGTTGCCATTAATTTTGCCAGATCCAGGTGGCACAACACACCATAAGTTAGGATTTTTCTTGATCCGAGTTAAAAGTAGGAACATTTACATTCTGTGTGGATGTATTGCTTGTCATACCAGATGAACCTGTTTACCAGGTATGACAAGCATCACCAAAATGTGTTATTTGCCAAGGGGTGGGCAAAGTTTTGCATACAACTGTAAGCCTTAAGTGTCATACTGCAGGAGGTGTTTTGTGCAACTGACCCCAGGTTTCTTACCCAAAGTTAAGCGCGTCGTTTAAGTCTATCTGTTTCAATTCTCCTTCAGTGGCCTTCAGTATGTTGTCCGGAGGGATGAGGCTCATTAAATATCTAATATAGAAAATAACCAACATAAGAGTGGAATAAAATCATTTTAAAAAGCAAATAAATTAAATTGTCTACTATATAGTTCTCTAATGAGGACTTTGGTACTCACCTTAAATATAAGCAAGTTAAGCTGATAATGAGCAACACAAGACAGCAGAGGATTCCAGTACGCTTTACCTTTGAACTGGATCGAAGCAAAAGCAGACAAAAAAGAGAACACTTCAGTTGGAGATATATAATATACGGTTATAAATGACATACAGTGTATGATGTTATACTGAGCATGCAGAGATATGGCAAAGCTGCATGGGAGAGAAAGACTAGTGGTTGATGACTGAAGAATACGATGAAAGTGAAATTAAGTTGTGTGAGCAATGCTACTGAAATACATTTATCTTGATTGGATGAGGGCTATTCTACAGTTTTTTTTTATTATTTTCGTATGTAATATAAATCATCTAAATAAACAAAACAGGAGAAATAAATAATGTCACTCATCCCTAGTGGTATCATACTGATAGAACTGAATGTAGAAAAACTGAGAATGCCCAGAAACAATGTCTCCGGTCACTCTGGATAATCCACATAGCTCATACCTCTTACCAAAGGAGTCTCTCTTTGTAAACATTATTGAGATGCTTTTTTAATTGACTTGGCTTGGATACCTTGTTGCATTGAATTCCTCCCACATTTTTTTCCGCAAACTCTGGCAGTAGGTGAAGTTATCTGTTGGCAGGTGGATAAAATGGCGCCTTAAAGAAAACAACATTCACTTTAGACATAGTAATGAAACCAGTGACAAAACAGAAGCCGACATGTACTCTTTACCCATTTTCAATGTTATTATTTTTCAACCAACTATCCATTTTTAATATTTAAGTATAAAGAAACTAATGTTGTTTAAGGTACAGACAAAATACAAAAGCCCCAAATCACTTCCTCTTTCAAGTATTTCACGTACGTTATTCTTTGTTTTTGAGTCATTGTCATTTTGACAGGTTTGCATGACTGAAATTCTTTCATTTATTAAATGTGCAAATTGCATTGTAAGGTTGTACAAAAGTACTGGCCAATGTGAGTCCCTTGCACCCAGGCCAACCTGTGCTTTAATCCCCACCAGCACATGCACACCACACACACAGCAATCTATTTGATCTCTTTATGCATGCAATGCAGTTGAGCTCCCAGCTAATGAAGTTTGGCTCCCAGTTTACAGTATATTTTGCGTCTTTCACCCCTTGACCATTATACTACTTATAATATAATAAAAACAAAAATATAATAAACTTTATCAACTCATCTACCATACTCATCCATGCATACTTAAAGCTGGAAACGTGATTTAAATATTATAATGTTCCACATCTTCCATAATTTTGAACTTTTAAAGCCAGTGGTACAGTTTAGCAGAAGCCTTCTCTATTTTCTTATGTTTATCAGAGATCAGCAGTGCCATGCCAGTATACATAGATGGCATATTATAGCTGTAGATATAAATGGGCGTTGCATGGAGGAATGACATGACATGAACATGTTGGCTAAATACAAATTTAATACTGACCAAAATGAGCCAGCAGCTGGGAAAAAGTGCATGCAAAGACAACAAGGATCTTTGAGCTCATTAAATAAATCTTAATCTTCTTCTGATATAGTTTGTCAGTATTGTGTCACATTGCCAGGAAATAAGTCGCTTAAACTCAGATGTACATTCTGGTAACAGCTCTTTTCAGTTTAGTTATGAATCCTCCCTGACAGTTATGACAATGATCTTGAAGGCTGAAATCATGTGCTATTTTGAATGATGAGTGAATCACATGACCAGCAAATGTATGATTCCCAATAAAGTTCAAATTTAAACATTTTTTAAAAAATTGTTAAAGATGTGACACTGATGACAATGAACAAAAAAATCAGTGAGAATATTATATAGTAGTTGCATCATCCTTTCTACAAGGAAAATATTTTATTTAAAGCATTTGAAGTTATATATAAACTGCAACTTCTTTTAAACAGTCAAAGTGAACCACAATTTTCTTTTTTTTTTTTTTTTTTTTTTTTTTTTTTTTTTTTTTTTTTTTTTTTTTTTTTTTTTTTTTTTTTTTTTTTTTTTTTTTTTTTTTTTTTTTTTTTTTTTTTTTTTTTTTTTTTTTTTTTTTTTTTTTTTTTTTTTTTTTTTAACCTGCCACACATCTTGAAACCCACCCACACTTGAATCCCCAGGGTTGGCTTGCGCAATATTGCTGATGCTGCGAATTTCCCCTTGGTAGAGACATTAAAAAAAATAAAATATTTTTACTAGATAATGACTTGCCTGTGTGCAGAGTTGTTTTCCATAAACAAAATGTACCATCAATCAGAGACTGAACAATCGCAAAAAGGGTAAAACATAAAAAAAAAACAGATTTTTAGATGGCAAAGGTAACATTAATTTACAACAAGGTGTTTTATATTTTTTATATTTATAATATTTTTTTTTTTTGTAGATTTTTTTTACAGGTACAAATCCACAACGCACCCAGAACATCAACAGGATTAATGCTCCTCAGCAACTTTGTTTAGATTTCCCCCTGGAGCAACGGTCTAAATGGTATAACAGATTCCACAAGCACAGAGAACTCCTGTTTGGGAGGCAACAAACAGGGATCAGCCCCCCTGAGAACGTTAACTTTTAACTGGCTGACTGTTTTGTCTTCCTGGAAGCACTGTCGTGGGGTGTGTGCTATTTTGTAATGTTTGTATCTTAAAAACTTCTTCAGACTACTATGCAAATTCTCTCAACATGTATACATCCGCAAACATGTCCCCCGACCTGCTCATCCGCATACACCCCTCTCTTTGTCACTTACGAGGCTGCTATATATTCTCTCAGTCGACTCTTTCAACCCACCCGTCAGGTTTATTCTCTGTCTGGATCTGCTGCTGCTTAAACTGATCATTTAGTCTGTCTGTACAGTCTGCTGAGAAGAAAAAAGTCCAGCTAATTATGCTTCTTGGGTCTCTCTCAAGAATATGTGTCACTGAATTTAACAGTTTAAACAGGCAAGAAAGTACAGTGTAGTGGACTGGGAGATCACTTGGAACTTCTTTATCAAACTAGTAAGCAAGTATTGTTATATGAAGTTTGTTATATGAAGTGATAATTCAGTTATTTTGAGCAGGAAAAATAAAATGTAAACTGGTAACACTGTTAGTTTTATAAATAGCTTATAAATGAAAAAAAAAGAAAATTTCTGTGTTTAATCTTGGGAAAGCCCCAGAAACAGCATTTAGTCCTCGGGACATCAAAAGTATGCACTGAATGTTCTCTGATGACTCCTCCATTGTCAGCTGTATCTCAGATGATAGGGAGGAGGAGTACAGAGACCTGATTGAGAACTTCATTGGATGGTGCGACAGAAACCACCTACAGCTCAACACAGGAAAAACCAAAGAGCTGGTGGTGGACTTCCGGCGGAGCAAGAGGACCCCCTCCCCTGTTGAGATTAGGGGGGGAAGGTAGAGACAGTGGACACCTACAAGTTCCTGTTGGTGACACTCAACAATAAACTGGACCAGCTCGGTGGTGGGGATAGAGCTGGACAGTGTGGAGGCTGCGACTGAAAAGAGGATGAGAGGGAAGCTGAAAGCCATCATGGACAAGCCCTCTCATTCTCTCTACACTGAGCTGAGGCAGCTCAGGAGAACGTTCAGCCACAGACTGACCCAGCCCCGAGCCTCGAAGCGGTTTGGAGGCTCGTTTGGACCATCAGCCATCAGATTCGCCACAGCACCCAGTACCTCCAAACCCCGCAGACAAAGACTGGTTTAAAACTCCTACCTACAACGCACAAGCCTTTTGCACTATTTATATTTAATTTCCACAAAATACTAGTTTAGTATTTTTAGTTTAGTTTTAGTTTTTTAGTTTTAGTCAAGTTTAATTTTCTGCTTATATTTTGCACTCCATGTCCTACTTGAACAATGCATAGTGTTTATACTAATAAACTAATAAACTATACTATAACTATATATAACTATAAACTAATACAAATTTATAGTTTAATATCTTCTAATATTTTTATTGTGATATTCTTTGTTCTCTGTTTTTGCATTACTTTGCCCTATTGCTGCTGTGTCAACCTGAATTTCTCCTAAGGGGGGTAAATAAAGGAATATCTTATCTTATCTTATCTTATCTTATCTCTCTTAACTTCTCCACTAGATGTCACTGAATCCTACACACAGGTCAGTTAAGTGTTAGCAGAAAGTTAGCCTGCTGAACAAAAGAAAACAAATGAGAAATGATAAACCATCTACACAGCACCGTCTTGAAGGATCACACTAATATCAGAGGTTAAAGGGTAACGACACTCTCAAATTTTGTTAGAACCCTTCCTTTACCTGCATATTTAAAAAATGCAGAGGCGTGTGGGAGCCATGACTGTAGGCCTTGTGGCTAATTAGGCCAGCATACCTATTGCCTTGCCTATCATGACACGGTTAGGAAGGGGACCAAGAATTTGGCTAAACCAAACTTCTATCTGACAAATACAAGGTAATTTCAAGTAGAAATGTCATTTCTGCTAATCTTGTACTGTATGTGAACAGTGCAAAACATGTTTAGTGTTGCTATTGTCATTTATGTTCTTCAAAAAGGCTTTAAGAGAAGAAAGTTTTTAAAAAATACTTTTTTTGAAGACAAACAAATGTAATAACTAATTCTAGAATCAGATGACTTTTTTGTGATTTGATGTAGTATAGTTGGCTCAAGGCATTTGTTTGGTCCGACAGGATCGGTAAATGTTGGCTCTAGTCATTCTCATCTCTCTTGTGGTTGGTGGAGGTATTTCTGCACCTGTGCTGAGCAAGTAGGTCTTCTTTACTGACTCAATCCAGTATGTATAAATATATTATTAATAGAAGATAACTATTTTGTCTTTTATTATTATTTGTAAAATGTGCATTTTTAAAAAAAATGTGTTTGCGTCTCAGAAAAAATTTTTTTTTTTTTTTTTTAAACTTCTTTTTTTAAGTAAGGGGGTAACGTTAGTACTGTCCACTTGGTTTCATTTCGCTAGTGTTGTGTGTTCTTTAAGCAGAGCTGATGAAGGCACAGCAGAGTTGGATTTGCTCTTTGACCCTGGCCTCCAGCATGTTACTGGCCTCCTAACCGATGGTAAGAAAGCTAACGTTACATATCAGTTTATTGAGGATGCTTAGCAAGTGATTATTTACATTGTGCTTTTTTCAAACAACGTACAAGTGCTTTATATCGTAACAAAACTCTGGACAATGTTTTTTCCTGACCAGCAGAAACCTTTATTGGATAGTTTCCATCCATCTGTTTGTGTTTTTGCAGATTATGGTGAGAGACCCCTTCCTCCTCCTCTGCCACCTGATACTAGAAATCCGTATCAACCTAACCTAGAGGATGAATACTACTAACGGAAAGACAAAAGTTCCTGATGCACAACAATTAAGCTGATCTGCCCTGTATGGAGGATCAGCTCCAGCAAAAAAAAAACAACAGCATATTCAAATAGAAACAGAAAAAAAACTTTCTTCTGACATACAATCTTCTTGTATGAACGTTGTTTGCTTATTTTATTTATTAATATTTTATTCAGTGCATGTTTAGTTATTTTCTTTATAAAAACTTATGAAAGAGAAGCTTATGGTTGCATACCTGCTTCAAAAAAGGCCTACAATGATGGCTAAAGCTACAGGGGGAGATTTTCTAAAAAAAGGAAATGTTTTTTCTTTGCATTTAAAAAAATCTCCATTCATATGAATGAATAAATATCCTTGTGCAAATGGATCTGCAAAAATTGTAGAATGCATGCCAGGCCTGTAGGCAGCGGTGTTACTTTGTTTATGACTTTACTTCCTGTGGTTGCCCTCAATCTATGTAGAAGTGATTAAGTATCTGGTGCATGTAATTAATGCATGTCTCTGCTGGTCACAGAAATGGTGCAGTGACTCTACACTTTGCTGGAAGAGTGTTAATAAACTCAGAAGAGCCTGCAGCACAAACACAACACCCTAACCTAACCACACCTTTATTTGCCAAACTGTTGAATTGTTTAGTCTTAACTAATAAGCTCTTAAAAGGTTACAAATACTCACACACTTACAAACCATCTGTAGTTGGTTTATCCAAATGAAGTGGAACCAAATTTGGATATTGATGATGATGAGGATGAGTTCCATGATTTGGAACAAGCCTTAGTTATGACTTTATGTCCAAACTAGTTAAATTATACCCCAAGTAATCATGTGCAACTCATTTTAGTAGCTGATTTAGTTACAAACTAATTAGTAGTTACTTTACACCCTAACAACAATCCACATAGCTGACACTTTCACATGGCTGGTGCAACCGTTCATATCATTCAGCTAACTCAGAACTCAGAGCCATGTTTCAATGGCAACCATCAGTGACATCCGCTGACCAGTGGCACCAAATCACACTGGTCCTGAGTCGAAACCTTTAATTCATTTACTTTATTTTATGCAGCCATCAACCTGCTTAGATTTTCATATACACACAAACAATCCTCTGTTGTTGTAGTAGTGAGCTACTTCATTTATAACATTTTACTCACCAACCTAAGTGATGATATGTAGGGATGCCGTAACATCACTAGAGTTGGAGTCAGGCAGCAACATGGCCAGTCACATGATCCGATGAGAATTACAGTCAGGACCTCACAAGTACAGAGATATTAATGTGTTTGTGCATATATATGTGCAAGTGAAGCCAAATGTAATAATGACAGGACACCATGAGATCTGCATTAAAATTTTTAAATAAAGAATAGTTCACACCTAAAAAAATTCCAAAATAAAGAGAAATTTCACATACTACATGTTGAATCAATACAATTTAATATTTATAATTACAGATATTAAATTATTTATTTATATATGGCATGTCTATACACCCTTTGTATAGCTCCCATTACTTTACACTTCTCCTGTCTGCCTGATTGGCTCTTGAGAAGGGAACTCATATAAAAGTCAGTGTTGATCTTGTGAGTCGAACATGATGACTTTGATCAGCAACAGCAGACAACTCGTTTGTTTTGCTAGAGATACTGTGTTTTTTTTTTAATGGAACAAACTGTAGGGACTGGTGAGATGGCTGAAATGACAATTTCCACATCCTTCATTAATGAATCTTTTTACAGACGTTTTTATCTTCTGTTAAATATAGATCACATAAAATAATCTGTTACAAATAAGTGTTAGTGATAAATGATGTAGTAAGCCACCCAAGGAAACTTTCTTTTTGTTTTTTTTACTGCAGAACAACTGTGCTGTACCCATGCTGGACCCAGGACGATTGAAAAAGATCTGATAACAATCCTTTCAGCCCTTGTTCAGAACACATCATAAAGTCTTAATTCGAAAACTGACACTTTGTCACAACTTTACACCATTAAGTTCATTTTATTAATGCAATGTGCATTATTAACACGTTGAGAGAAAACTACAGAGGGGGAACCAATGTGATATGCATGCAAATTCATTTGAGGAAGTGAAACTGTTTTGTAAAGCTAAGTTAAAAAGTTAGAATCCTTTGGGACAAATCTAAGTCAAGTCTCAGGACTAACGACCAATCAAACCAAAAATAGTGACAGATGCCTGTTTCAATTGTTCAAAGCCTAAGGTGGCATCATAAGATGGCTTGTTTTGTTTCATTGACAAAACTCCAGATCCTTCAAATATTCACTATTCAGTTTAGCAGCAAATCTCCTTAATATAGGAACTGGAGAATATTTGCCATTTTTACTTGAAAAATAACGCCAATTATCTTTCTCTAGCTCTACTCAAGTATGTAGTCAAGTCACAAGTATACATAAGCAAACTGCAAGTAAAAATGTAAGTCTTCCAGGTATCTAAATGCTGACCAATAAATGTCATTATGGCTTTTAACATTTTTCTTTAAAAGCTGTTTGTAGTATTTTAGATAGTTGAGACCAAGTCCTTACAATTCCTTTGCTTCCTGTGGCATTGTAAAGCCTGCCCGCTGCTGTCTTTTTTTAATCATTCCGAGGGCCAGATATAGACTATAAGCAATGTCTATGTGTATACTGTCCTGTAACAGAGATAAAGGGTATTAGCACAATTTTAGTGTAGCCTCAATTTTCTGTGTGACAGCACAGGTACAGCACAGCACTTTTAGTGCAGTGGAAAGAAAGCACAAGTCACACCAAACATCCCCCTACATCACTATTTGCATTCAAACTCTTAAACTCAACACACACTCAATGGCAATCCCTTTAAATGTCGTGATAATGTTCACTGAGGAAGGACACAATGATCTGATGAAAAAAGAGGCACTACTAGTGAAGATATGAAGACACCAGAGTTTTGCTTTAGCTCCCCTGTCAGCACCTGTACCTACTGTACCGAGGATCAGCCTTCTCTTCCTATCACCGCCACACTGAGAGCATTTGATGTTTCTGATGCGGAAACCATGAGGAGCAAGTTTCTAGAACACCACACAAAAGGAGAAGACCTCGTCTTGTACCACCAAAGAGCCGAAGCCAAATGTTTTGTTTTTTTTCCTTGTATTAAACATCTCAAGTCACTGATTTCATACCTAGTCAGAACACACAGTAAAGAAGCGCAGTGTGTCTTGCATTAGACTAGGAGTTAAGGACTAAGGCTTACTGGGCAAATGGTGGGGGCTGTTTAGCTTAGCACTACAGAAGCTGCTAAAAGGATTGAAAGGAAAAATCCACACTTGTACACCCTCACACTGTTTTTCTTTTTATCAAGGACAAGTGATGCTCAGTGCATTCTAGGAGTTATTTGTGATTTTATTCTCCACTACTTTTTTTTTCAACTACTATTCTAGTCTATTGCATGTTCTTTTGAATGTAGAAATCGGTCTTTATATTTCCTCTGTTCCCTGTCTGACTGTGGAACATCTGTGGAAAGGGTCGGCTCTATGATTCTCAGGACTACACATGATCTGCAGCAGAACTGCTTTGCATCTGCGTCAACTATTGTTTGCCAATCGGAGAAGGCTTGCATTGTGCACCACTTCCACAACATTATGCCTTGCCAATGCGCTCAATCAATCTCTTAATCAGTTTCAACCATGACCTTATTTGAGTGCGGCATGTGACGGAGACCAACGTTCTAGGTCACTGGGTCTAAGGCTGCAACTAATGATTATTTTAATTATCAATTAATTATCATTTGTTCTATATAATGTCAGCAAAAAGTTGAACATGACAATCAAAATTCCCAAGTTGACAAGGTGATTCAACAAATGTTGACATTTGAAGTGAAGTTGGCATTTTCTGCTGAAATACTTTACATTTATATAATTAAGTGATTGTCACAATAGTTGCTGGCTACCTTTATGTGGGTTTTTTCAGCTCTAACCCTTATTTGTGTTAAACTAAAATACACAGTGTTTGCTAGGCTCCTTTTGTTGTTTGAATTCCTTGGTGCTTTCCGGCTTCTCGGTGCCTTGCAGTGTGCACAGCTCATACTTCAGCTCCTGTGTAAGAGAGCCTTGCGGACATTGATGTCTCAGATGGCTACATTTTCTGCTGCCAAACAGCTGATAAAAATAGATTTGAAAAGAAGGCTTGGTTGTCTAAAAGGGACCCAAAAAATGCAAAGAACATCACCTGTAGCTGGTTTTAAAAACAGTGTTTTAGGGTAGATTTTCTGTTGTAATTGAGCAATGTGAATATCGGCCTCCTATCAGGTATGCTACAGGCTAAAATTCACTGTTCCTACATGGATTTGTTTCACTTAGTGTACATTTTCAGTGTGAGGATGTTATTTAGTAAATATACACATCTCTTCTGCTCAGACCCTAAATATTAAAAGTCAGAGCAAACTCATCATGTGTTCATTTTTCCAAACCTCGGCTGCTGTTTTCCTTTTGTCGAGTGCAAGCTGGTGCAGTACGGCTCCCGGGCTTTCAGTGTTGAACCTGCCGAGGCGATGCTACAGGCTAACTAGCGCTGCCAAGGCTACAGTGACACAACGTTTGTGCTTTCCATGGACAGCCTGTGATCACCACCTCATCACTGACTCCATTTTGCATATTTTCTTTTCTCAAGACATGCCTCCATTGGCTCATTTTCATCTCTTCTTGTCGCACAAAGGTTTCACCACAGTTCCAGTCCTTGATCCTTCTTTTCCTGCTCGTCTGTCAGATGTGTTAACTTTTCAATTTTTCTTTTTTTTAAATTTTATTTTAGATATGTCTGTCCATGCAACATTATGTTATGATACAGTGTACTGTACAGGGCTGTGGTTGAAGGCAGGGTAGGGTTATTCCAGGTAGATGTCCTCTGTGGGGCACGACACCTCCACAAACTCTTTATAGTACAACTGGAAGGCTTTCCTGAAAAACAGACATGTACTTCAGTCATTGCTAGACCTCACGTAAAAGCGACACACCCTGACTTTCTTATGGTGCCCAACTGAGAGCCAAAGTAAGACCCCATCTCGAGGTTAGGTTCTGTCCCATTAGTTTACAATTCTTAATGAATGTTTTCCTAATTGATTTCTTTCACAATTGTTTAAAATCTTAAACATGATCCTAGTGCTTTCTGTTCAAGGTCTACCACTATACCCGACAGTAGAACTTGATCAGTTCATCATTTTAACCAAAAAATACTGCAATTATTTTGTTAACATTTAGTTATAATGGTCTGTTGAGCACAGTCAGGGGCTGTATTAGTACGCTACATGCTCACAGAGATAACAGAGACATTTTTTTTTTCTGAATAGAGCTTTTAGAGATTATCATCTGTGTATGAAATGTACTGGAAAAACCCAACATTTTTAGAAATTGACTTTTAAACATATCTTCTCTCCACACAGCATCTCATCCAGTTTTGTGACCACAATAAAAACAGACCACAGCTGGAGTCATGATGCAGCCAGCACTGATCTGCGTTACTGTCATACTGCCGGATCAATAAATGACAACAGCGACTGCAGTGTCATCTGTTTGTAGGCAATCTTTGCAAAATATGTCCAACTGTCTGTAACGTAACCTGATCTATACAACTGTCTTTTGCCAGGGAGAGAGATCTGTTCCAGATTGGCTGAAGAGCTTGTTTATTTTGGAGGATCTAATGAAATTAAATACATTTAGAACCTCTGCCAAGACTGCAAAATCTTATGGAAAGTGTTAGAAAGAGCAGGGAAATAAAGAGATACATAAATTTAAAAGCATCTGGCAAAAGTAGACGTAAGTAGTTCATAAGAAAAAGCTGGAATGTTGAAAAATGTCTTCTAATAAATATTCAGACAAATTTATATTATAACATTATAATGTTTACACAAAAACCTGGATTACCATTATAAATTGGTTGCTAGATTTTTAAATATCTAACAAACAGAAAATAACTTCCTTGGCAATAATGACTTATACAGGGGTTCCCAAACTTTTCTTGTAAAGGACATCCAAAATTAGATCACAGACCCCCTATTGAGAGGATTTAGTCTTAAGGAATCCCCTCTGAGCATTTCTTATTAGGTTTGAAGATAAACAAGTCTTCATAGTTAATCAAACTAGGATAATTATAATTTACAATCAATCAAAACGGCAAAACCTATTTATTCCCTTGTTCTTACTTCCATAAAATGTGAAAAAAGGTACAATATTTTATTCTTTCTTTTTTTGGGGACCCCCTGCAACCCACTCAAAGACCCCTGTTGGTCCCCTGACCTCAGTTTGAAAACCACGGATTTATTAATTATCAATTAATTATCATTATTATTTTTTTTAAATCTTTCTATCTAAGTATTTTATTCTATTGTTGTATTTTATTCTATAGTATTTTATTATATTTTAATGTACCTGGCTGCTATGACAACCCAATTTCCCTTCAGGGATTAATAAAGTCTATCTATCTATCTATCTATCTATCTATCTATCTATCTATCTATCTATCTATCTATCTATCTATCTATCTATCTATCTATCTATCTATCTAAATGAGGCTTTAAGCATAGCATAGTAGCATAGAGGAAAAGGGAGTCTGTCTTGGAAGAGACAAAACCATGGAAAATAATGCGTAGAAATTAAATAAAAAGTTGGATTTTCCAGTGATTTTAAACAAGGGACTCAAGTTTTCAAGAACAAATATCTATAATAGATCAGCTCTCTCTAATCACATTAAATCAACGCCCTAAAAATCCAGATCAGATCATCCCTAAACTAGAGAATGCATGCATGTATCTGTATGTATCAGCAGAGATAAAGTAAATGCATAAACTTCCTCCATGCAAAGAATAAATATCTAAACGCTAGTGAAAAGGAAATTCCAACTCACCCTACTGACTCTGCAAGAGGTTTGGTGGAGTTTTCAGACACAAACACATGGCAAGCAAATCTCTGGTCTGCTGGGTGCTTAGTAATGAAACCGAAATACCTACAGAGAGGACAGGGAAAGCCGATAAGGCACTCTGAAGAGGGCATTCAGCATTGTCACCACCTTTATTTGTTGATTTGTTCTTTCTGTCATGTATTGACCTGGCACTGTAGTCCTTGATTGAAAGTCCTGTTTCAGGTTTTCTGCCTTTACTTACTTGCTGTTTTTGGGGTGATAGCCGCAGAAGGAAACGTTCTTTAACTGGAAGAAGTGATTGCACTCGTTGCTCTGTGAGGAAGACACAGAAGAGAGGCAGAATAAGTGTCTTAGATTAACATCAAGAAGGCTATTTGCTCTACACTTACTACTCTTATCAGGGTGAACAAACTGAACAAAATCAACATGTGTTTGCCCCACTACATGTATGGAACAAATGTTAGGCTCATTTTTATTTGTAATACAAGTGAAAGTCATGTCAGATGATGATGTAGAGTTTTGGACTGCGGACAAGGTTCTTTGTTTGCAATGTCATTTTTTATGCAAAAAGTTATTTTCTGGAAAATGTAGCTTAACTTAAACAATATATTTTGTATCATAAAAACACATGGAGTGGGAACTTGCATGTGCACACATAACATTTTAAAGCTGTTCGCATGTTCAGCATGTAAAACCTTTAACTGAAAATTAACAAGTGATTACAAGTGTAAATGTAGTGGAGGGAAGAATGCAATATTTCTTTCTGAAATGTTATGGAATATAAGTTTAAAGGTTCTCAAAATGGAAATACTTAAGAACTTTTCTTTTTTCCTTGGGCGCCTCTAACATCTCTGCCTGCAGTCTCTACTGGCAGCCACTTGGGGGCAACATGCCTTAATTCAATGGGATTCTGTTGTGAAGATTAGCTTTTACTTGACAAAACCTCTTGAAACTGCACTTCATTTATTTTAAATTAGACAGACAAAGGGACAGTAAGAGTCTTACTCTGTCACAGGCGTAATAATCCTCCTGAACGGCAAGCTTGATGCCTTTAACACTGATCTCCAGGATGCAGGAGGAAGGCGGGTTGTACTTGACTGTCATCCTTCTGTTGGTGGCAATCTGGAAAACAAACGTAAAAGTACTTTTAACCTGTAACCCAAGTCTACTACTATAAGATATTACAAAATGAATCCTAAAGTTTTCATGATGTTGACAGTGCTCAGTGTTGGAAACAGTCACAGTGTGATTTTGTAATGCTCCTGTCAGTTAACAACACATTCTTAAAGAGCAGTCTGCATGCATGTTTGCTGCATCAGGTGCTTGGTAAGTGACTTTTCCACTATGGACACCAAATTATTTATAACATACAAATGGGATACATATTATGCTGTAGTTCGTGTATTATTTTTTACATTATGCCACATAAGACTTTTTTTTCTAGGAAAATAGCTGCTGTATTTGTGGCATTTATCTCTCTGTGATGTTGCTCTACTATACTGTACTAGTCAATTGCTTTACACACAGAAACATTTGCACACACAGGCCTCGTACCTTCTGCATAGCTGCGCACAGAACATCGTTTCCTTTGTGGTAGGGCACCTGAACTGAGCCCAGGAACTTCAGCCGGTATCTGTCCATCCATTCACTGCTCTTTACTGCACAGCAAAGAAAAACACACAAAGAGTAAAGACCCTGGCATTAATAATCAAAGGCAACAAAGAAGATAATGTAACATGGAAGCATGGATTTATTTAAGCTTAAAATCTAGGTGAGACTTTAGTAGCTCCTTTAAAAGAGACAAAATAACTGTTTAAAATTTTCTACAGCAACACAAGGACAATACTATGTCTGTTGGGGGTTGACAGCGTTATTGTTGTTGTTTCTATACATGTAAGCATATCACAATCTGTTATAACTCTTTTGTAGTTTTACTTGTATTTATCATTTTATTTCTACCCTAGCTTAAACCTGACAGAGAAGTAGGGCAACACTCCCCGGAGTTCATGTTAACCCCACAGGGGTTAACCCACAAATACAACAAAGTCAGGAGGTACCACTACTGGGAACTGAACCTGTCTGGGTCTCTGAGGTGGTGAGTTTCTGCACAGCCTTAACTGTGCCTTTGTAACCTTACTCTAAACATAATTCTATACCTAACCCTCAACCAATAACATTTTTGTTATTCAAATAACTTCCAAAACCCAAAGATATCAATTTACTTTTACACATACAAAGAAAAGCAGCAAATCCTCACAAGTGAAAAGCTGGAACTACATTTTTTAATTATTTCTTGCTTGAAAAATGACTTTAGTTAATCATCAATGATCATTTGACTGTTTCCTCTGTACATCTTATCAACCTGTTCAGCTTTAGCTCTACCAAATGGAGCTGACTTATAAGCATGTCCATTCTTCCTTTTCCATTCCCCATTTCAGCAGAGGCTTTTCTAAATACACCTGGATGAACAAACAGATCTAACTCCCTCTCCATATCCGTTTTGCTGTTTTCCTCTCCGTATTCTCTTTGAAAATAATGCTATGAATATAAAAAAATTCTAAAATTAGGAAATTGCTTTTGAAACGGTGGCATGATGGGACTCAAAGAAGCATCACTGCACTTGAGTTGTAAGGCTAAAAAAAGCCTTATCAAACCAAAACATAAAACAAATGCATTCCATGTTTCTTATTTTTAGCATTTAGTCTTTGCCAAGTCTTGGATCTGTTTCAGTGAGCCAGCTTACTTGTGTTCATTTTTAATTTCTTGTCAATTATAAGCCCATGTAACTCAAACTGTTAAAAAAGAACTAAACCAGTGAATACAGAGCCAAAGTCCTGACACAATTTTTTCTTAATGCTGACAGTGATACTGGAGTTTTATGTCCTCATACTAAGATAAATGAGTATAGCCACAGCTGTAACAACTACATCTCCCAGGATGAATGAGCAAATATCATTAGCTCTCTATAATACAAATCACTAATAATCACCACTGTGGCAATTTATGATGTTCACGATTTGAAACTGAACAGCACAAATAGAAAAAAAACATGAAAAAAAAAGTTGACTCATGCAGTGGTCTTGTGTAGAGTTTAGGCATACCGCAGAGAAGACATTTCAGCATCTTTACTGACACAGTCACCTCTTCTATAATTAATTGTTTTGGCAGCGTCTGTACCTTTGAAGCTCTCGGGGTCCTTGGCCACCTCTATAGCGTAGTAAGCTGGGAAGATCCCACGGGCACCAGTTCGCATGTTGTAGCCCTCGTACCAGTAATCCTCCGACTGAACCTCCACCAGCAACGGATCATCCACCTCCAGCTCCAACTCATCGTCATGTCGAGGGACAAACCTGCCGAGACAGCTGTAGTTATGCAGAGGATTGGAACAACCTCACAGGCTTCTCGTGAGCTGGATGACCACCGTGTACAGTGTCTGCACCACAAACGTGTCAGGTTGTCAGCCTGCCGGGACATTCAGTCCAAATTCAGGCCCTGTAAGCCTGAAAGTGGTAGCTTGCTTCTTTATGGACAAAACAACTGTAGTCAGCTTTGATTCATGGAGTTACAATAGATGTTATCCAATGGCAAACTAGTTTCACAGCAACATGAAGTACAGTAGAACCATGGCCAAACACACAAAACACTTCTCAATTGTTTGCACATTGAGTATGTATTTGCCACAAAATATGGCAAAATAGAAATATGCATTGCATAATTCTTACATTGGTCACAAACAATAAATGACATTTGTGAATCCAAGCTGTCTACAGTTACTATCTCACTCAAGCCTATAAGCTGTATGTTAATACTCAAAACATGGGTTTTCTGTATAAGCTTTGCATTGAAAAGAAACCTTGACCAATATGCATTGTTGAGTTTATGTAATAAGGTTAGGAATGGTTTCAAAAACTAGCCTGATGTTGGCTAGACAGATGCGGTGCTAATGGCTATAGAGGCATATGAAAGTACAGAATATTACACACATACAAACTAGAACCCATTAAATTGTAACAAGCCCTGTACTTTCAGCTATGCATGGCTAATGCCCCGCACCATCACATGATCTGTCAGTGCGCAGAGATGCTGCCATTCACATGACTGCATTGCTGATGTTTTTGTCTCCCCCCCTTTGCATTTCTCAGCCTGAGGTCATCAACAGCAGCTGTAACTCCACGCTGCCAACTGGAGTGTGACTGTTACTGGGGAAACATGAGGAAATTGAGCTTATTCTGCTCCAACAACTACAAAAAAAGGAAAAAGAGAAATGAGAATGGTGGAGATGATCGTGCTAAAAAGGTAACTACACCCTCAAATTCTGCTAATGTGTGACGGGGGAGAAGGGGGTTACTGACTGACTGATCACTGCTCAGTATAGCATGGACAGCGACGTAGAGCTCAGACCTAACCAGCCATGAGGAGCTACTGTCAGACGCTCTGTTCCACAGCTGAAAAGGCAGAGTCTGGTGGAGCTTTGACAGTCACTAGAAGCACATTTGTGGCCCTTTGAAATAGTCACTATCACAGTTTAAGCAGTGAATATAGCACAGTTACTGGCAGGCCCATGTGTTGTATTTACTGCTACTGAAGAAAAATACATTTCTTTTGTGTATGTCATTTTTCTGCCGGTGCTTGGAAGAATCCCCTGTATTATCATGGTGCAACATTTAGTATGGATGTAGGGGTGATGATGGTGGTAGTTCTTCCTCACCTGTACACAGCTCTGTGGCTCTGATCCTTCTCCTCTCCATTTATGATACAAGAGTATAAGCCAAAGGACTCCGCACCTAGAGAACCAGAGAAGAAAAGAGATGAGGAAAAAAAATATGGTGTCAAACAGAAAACACAATTGGAGCGCATTGTGTTCACTGTAAAGCACACATGTATTCTTTAGGACCTATGAATCACACTTTAATTAGGCGTGAAACAGATGAGCATTGTGTATTTCTACCTACATTCCCCTGAGACATCCGTCAACCCCCTCCTGCACTACTCAGATAAACTGCTGTGGTGTTTCTAATGAGTCTGTAAAAAATCATGGACGGCATCCAAGAGTACAGCCAAGACTATTAAAGGAAATGACCGCACATGCATTATAGACGCATTTCTCATTGTCTGTCCGTCTCTTTCATGTGAATCCTCCCTCCTGCCCCTTAATGACGGCTGCTTTTGGCACGCATACACACCGTGATGCGGGTCAGTGTGTGACTGGTGATATTTCCTATGGTTTTCCCAAGGTGAGAATGAGCCTAAAGAAGGTAAATCCTATCATCCTCCATACTCCTGTTTTCCACTGGGAGACCACAAAGACACAACCTGGGAAAGCTGCAGATCTCATGTTGCAAATCAACAGAAGTTGTTGGGCTGAGCATATGGAGACCAGCAACGGGATATCCAAGGTCCCCAGACGACCGCTAATTTTGGTGACTGATCTTTCCTCTAGCATCAATGTTAGTCCAAACTTTTTTTCACAGATTTATTTTACAGATTTCCATAAAAATTCACTGGCAAGGTTTATACCTGGCAAATGACCACTTCACATTTTTAGCCCCATAAGGCTCTTAGGCAATGTTCATATCGTCATTTGCCCTGGGTCAAAAAGCTCAGCCCCCTCATGAATGGCATATTTCTGCCGATTCAACAACAATTGTCAGAGGATTAAATGTTTTTCCGCTTTCAAGAGTGTCTCTTAGTATTAAAAACTGCTCTACAGCAGTTAGGTAGCCGACAACTACTCTGTTCTTGGACTTGATTTCATCTTCTTACATCTTCACACACACGCCAATAAAACCATTTGCATATTTTAACACCTATTTTCTGTGTGAACGCTTTTTTAGTCTTAAAAAAGTTATTCTTGTTCCTGTTTGATTTGGTGACAGCTGTGGTTGCTGGTGGTAACAGCAAGTGGGTGCCACAGTCTCTTTACATATCCTATATATCCTCATCTCTGCTTGAGCATACCACACCCCTATCTCAGGCTGAACTGTTAGTGGTCAAGCTGCATTATAGGTAATGTAGGCAACAGGAATTGATAAGGAAGAAGGCACAAAATAAATAATGAGATGATATCTCTGGTTCTGCTGCATACATTTTGATCCTTATCCTTATAGGAGCGCAATGCTTAACTGGTGGATCAGTCTTTCAATAATGCAGCTCCCAGAGGCCTGTTTGAAAAGTTGAAAACTCTGGGGGAAGCAAACACCTTGAGCTGCTACAACAGACGATGAGGAACTTATGTGTTCATAGACAATATTGTCCAACAAAATGGGGTCTAAAAAATCTTCTCTAAATAGCCAAAATACACATGGTGGTGACACAATATTTAGCAGGTTCAGATTTTTTATAAAGCCAATCACTGCATGTGTCATTGCTTGATTTCTTCCTCAGTCCTTCCCTCTCTAGGGCTTCCCTTGTTTTAATGCTCTGAAAACAACAAATTTGTTTTTGAATGCGTGATTGGTCTGGACAACAGAGAGGAAGAGAGGGTCTGGAGGCAAATCCGGGAAACTGCAAGCTGCTTTTGGCTTAGTGTCACTCCACCCAGCAGGCCATTTAAATGTCCTGCTGGGTTTCTGCCCTGAACGTGTTGCTGTCAGAACGGTGATAGCAACAGCAACAAAGCAGCATAAAACTGCAGCTTTCATTTTCAGAACTAACAATCTGAGCCGGACAATGTTTCCTAAATTAGAACAACTTTCATGTAAATCACATGTTCAAACTGTTTATGTTCAAGCCACCAGTGTTCTAAAACAACATTTTCAAAAACTATTCCTCAACCAGTTTCAGATGTGATTATCTTTAGTCACAAAGTTAAATTTAACTCAGTGCAGACAGATAGTCACAATATCCAGAGTAACATGTCATGTGAACGATGATCTGTGCTGTATGAGAATATTCCAGCTCCTGAGTATCTCTGTGGCTTTGCTTCATCAGCCACATCGCTTTAAGCCTTTCCCACCGCACTGCCAATTCGGCTAGACAGCATTCACTGCTGTGTTACCCTGTATTTAAAGGGAATCACACAGAACAACAGCCCGCTGTGCTGATGTGCTTCCTGGTTGTTTCCCATACAATTCTCTGGGGGAATATAATGCCTTGTATTAAGGAATAATCATATTTTTAAAAATCATATCAATTCTCTGAGACAAATGGATGAAGAAGAAAATACCTAAAAGAAGCTGTGATGTCACAAAAGCGTTGTGAGGCTGCCCCATATGCAAATAAGGAGTGTCTTAGTTTGTATGTGTTTGCATACTATGTCTGTGTCTTTCTGGTTGCAGAGAACAATCTAAACCCATTCTCATCAGTGAAATATTCTCTTAACCCTGCAAACAAACTCTCAAACTAAATTTAAATGTACAACCTTATTTAGTTTGGTTACATTATACATTGGCTGGGCAATAAGGTCACAATTTAACAATTAAGTATAAGACATATAAAGTATAAAGATGAATTACTGCATGTACTAACCACATTGTGGTAAAACCTCATTGTATCATGGCAGTGACTTACTGGAGGAGCGGGAGCGTCCATTCATGAAGACGTTGAGGAACTTCTTGGAGAAGTGAAGGTCGACCTCTGGAGTGGAGTCTTCAGACAGACAGGCTGTGGCCTCTCTCCTCACTCCACCTATCCGAGTGCTGTCCTCCTCCTCCTCATCTTCCTCCTCGTACTCCTCCCCGATGGCCGACTCGTAGGGAGAAGAGACGCAGTTGTCATAGACAGTGGCTGAGTCGCTGTCATCACTGTAGCCTTGGTAACACTGCCGGAGACTGACCAGTTCTAGCTGAGCATGCTCATCCACCACCAGCGTGTATTTGACTGAGTCATACGAAAGGCCGCTGGCCTCCGAGCTCATGGAAGTCCTTACTGGGACTCTGCTGCTACCACCATCCCCCTTTCCTCCCCCCTTCCTCATTCTTCCATCCATTATTATTCTGTCAACATCCTCATCTTCCCCACAGTAGCTTTCATCTGTGGCATCCACGTACTCCACCGATGACCCGCCTCTCAACATGACCCCGGCCTCCGTTCCCGCCCCCTTCAGGCTGAGGTCTAGCGCGAGGGAGGAGCGAGCTGAGACAGCCATGCTGGGCGGCGTAATGAGTGACTCTACACAAGAAGCATATGAAGGTGGGGGGACGTAGACCTCGTCCTCCTCATAGATGGAGGGGTTTGTCCGGTCTGGGAGGGGCTGGTAAGGAGGCGGGCCCTCTGTGTCAGAGCTGATGGACATACGGCCCTGCTCAGTCTGCTGCGAGAGGAAAGGCCGGTCCTGTGAGTTGGGCGGTTCCAGGGGGTCTGCAGAACGCTGCACAGGAGTCAGATAGATCTCCTCTGTGGGCTCTAGATGAACGTCCGTGTGGTAGCGGATCCTCTCCCGGTGGTGATTGCCTCCATCCGCCTTCCCTGCCGGATACAGAGGAGCTGGTGTATAGTTCTGTGGCGGCGGTGGCGCGGGTGGCTTCTCCTGAAGCTTGGAGCGTGTCGCAGCTGCTGTAGATGAGCCGTGCGAGTGTCCAGAGGTGTGGCTGTGTCTGCAAGGGGCGTCAGTGGAGGTCCCGCGGTCTTTGGTCTGCGCTCCCCCTCCCTGGACCTTGTCTTCGTCGCTCAGACAGCTGTGCTCACGTGGAGGAGTGAGCTCACCTGGAGGAAGAGCAGACAACAGCAGCATGCAGACAGCCGCACAAACACACGTGCAGACACACAAGCATGCACAAAGGCCAGACGCACAGAGTAAATATACATGATGCAGAAATGCAGACATGACAGACAGACATGAAGGCAGACATGGCACCGAATGCACAGACAGATAAAGCACAAACAGGAAGAAAGAAAAGTAGAAATGGTTAGGTAACAGATGTCAGGATTACGCAGCTAAATCCCCATTACTCATCAAATTCAGAGTGCAGCCAGGAAAAAGTGATTGATGCGTTATGTCATAATCCATCGCCAGGAAATCCAAGTATGATATCTTCACAGTGGATGATGCAGCATGACGCCTGAAAACACAGGAGTTCTGAGCGAGTGTTCAAACAAGCTTCAGCATTTATGAAGCACGGAGGCCAATACAGGACAATACTGAGACACATCAGTCTTGTCTCTCCTTGAAAGGAATTAAGATCTGTATTTTCGTTACTTAACAATACATCACGGATGGTATTTTTTTTTTTGCAAATTTAATTTACAACAATTAACCTTCTTATCATATTTAAAAAGACAAAATCAAAAATTCCTTGTTGGGCTGCACATATGTGTTCTGCACTGATTCACTTCGACCTGCAAAATCAAATCTAGCAGAATCTTCTCAGATGACTCCTTAAAACAAACTTCTCCTAACTTACAAATGAGTCCCTGTGAGGCCATGTGACGTCATTTGCTAGTTTGCATATGAATGGGACCAGTTGTGTTAATCAACTAATCTGCAGATTTAATCACACTAAGTCTTGGAATTCTTAGTGTGTGTAAAATGTTCAAGTGTGGTGGAAGGGGTGCACTTAAGGAAGCCCTGAATACGGCCAATCTCAAAAAGGTAGCTCCTGAAAATGCATTATTGACACCTTAATTCATTTATATATATATATATATATATAAAAAATCTATGAAGTTTGTATCCTGTTTTCTTCTGTTACCAAATGGAGTGAAACATTACAACAGAGCAAACAAAAGTTAATTTTGGTTTAGCATTTGGTTTGGATATTCATATATTTAGAGTGAATACAAGGAAAGCAACAGGGTGACCATCTCAGAATAATGAGTGGACATTCTGCATTCTGCCATCACAGTTGATTTATCCTGATGTGTGAAGGCTCTAGCTGAGTTTATAAATAATTGAGATGACTAGTAATATACTGTATCACTTCTTCTATCAGTGGTTAGTTGTTGTTGGAAGGGTTTGGTTAGTCTCGCTCCCTCACACGGTGCTCTGAAAAGAGTTGTAGCAATGAGCTATGACAGCTCCCAGCAAGCTAAGCCCCGAGCTGGCCAAACACACACACACACACACACACACACACACACACACACACACACACACACACACACACACACACACAGACAGTATACAGCATTGCCTCAGCTAGCTACACCTAGCCCGGCAGAGCTAATCCAAGCCTTAGCACTGTCCCCTGAGGATAAGAGAGACGCAGCCTGCCAGACTGAATGTAAATCACATACGCGTTCAGCTGCTGTGTTTGCAGCACAGCGATGAATGAGATTAAAGACTGCAATCTGCTCTCAGTCATCGTCAACAAGAAAAAAACTAGTTAAACTAAAATATGAGTGTTATGGTGTGAAGGTCTGGTGGGAAAGAAGAGCTCACCTGTTTTAAGAGGCGAGGACGAGCCCGAAACCTTCTCCTGCCAACTGTATTTCTTCCCAAAGGAGTTGTTGTTTAATGTGTCCTGTGGAAATGCAGAAAAAGAGGAGGGGAAGAGGAAGGAAGTGGCGATAAAGTAAAAAATAGATGGAGAGTACAGACGGGAAAAGAGAGAGAGAGAGAGAGAGAGAGAGAGAGAGGGTTTGGTTACAGAGTTCTGGATCCTCACACTCAATGTACACAACTTTTTCTCTCTCTCTCTCTCCCTCTCTCTCGCTCACTTCACACACACACACACACACACACACACAAAGCTTTTATTCTGTTGAATGAGCAGGGATTCTTTTGTCTGTGCTCCGTGGTGTGCATTTAAAGGGAACTAGACCTTTTACCAAAGCTACCGGGAACACACACACACACACACACACACACACTGGGAGTCTCTTTATGCTGTTTTTGGGGGAGCTGTTGATAGACAGGAGAGAGCCTTTTCTAGAAACCATGATACTTCTCAAGAGCCTTTTTCCTTCTTTCCAATTCTACTTAAAAAGAGCCACTTAACCCAAATCTAAAAAAAAATGATTTCATTGCACTACAGAACTGTTTCATCTCTTTTATTCTTTTTATACACTTCTTTTGCAAATGTTTCCCAGGAAAAAGCAATGGCTGACTCATGTTATTTAAAGAGCAACTTTACAAGCAGCATTACAATCTTTTTTTTTGTTGACGTTCACTGATGATGTAGAAGAGTACTACAGGGTGTGGTCTGTGCACAGTGACATCACTCTTGATGGTTACAGGTGCAGGTACAGTCAGAGGTGCAACAAACTTGACTCAGCCAGAGAGGGCAGTGAAACACTGTTCGCCCCAGTGTGAAGTTACTCTCTGATCTTGTATCTTATGATACAAACCATTTAATGTTGTCTTTATTTAACCAGCGAGGAGAAATTATAATTTTTTTGATGTGCTAAATGCCAAAAAGTTAGGGTCGAGACAAGGACTGGGTATCATTTGAAATAAGTCAATACTAGTGTCGATATGATATACAGTATGAGTTTCTATAATAATCCATAATAATAAAACTATACCTATTCCAACACATGAAACAAGGGGGTCACTTGTATGAACTTACAGAGAATTATCACCCAAATCTGCAGCTCCCCTCGACTTCATAGCAAGTTAAAGCTCAAAGCTTAGCCTTTAGCTTAAGTTCACTCTCACCACAGAGTCGTCTTTGTCTCTACACTCGAAAAAAAACTACTGTACGATGCTTGCCCCGCACTAAAAAGCATATAAAACAGTTAAAGACTAGCTGGTTAAATCATGAAGCATTTAGAAGCTAAAGAGAAAGGTATTTGTTGCAGGAGATGGTAGAGACCAAAACAGAGCAAAAAAGAGAGTGAATATTGGACACAAATATGACTTCAAATGAAGGTTTCTCTGCTGGATGTGTAAATAAGCAACTGTTTGCCATATCAGCTTTAAACCTGGTCAGTGCCTTGTGTACAAAGCAAATAAGATATGCCCAACATTTTGTGAGTCTGTGTGGCACAGGTACCAGAGGAGCACTGAGGTTTCATACCTAGCGAGGGACAAGAGAAGGAGAGACACAGGGATGATGGAGGGAAATTTTAACACATCAAAGGAGAACTGGAAACTCCTGTGACGACAACGTGTCGTGCAAAATAAGACTGTATCCTCCTCCTCTGTCCACCCACCACCCCACATGACTCACTTCCCATCTACATGTACCAGGAGGAGACAGAGCCGTTGCCGTGGTGACGAGTGAATCAGCAGGTGGGAGACGGCAGCAGCCTTGGTCTGAGGAGCAAAGGCTTGTTTTACCATAGAGAGAAAAAGATCACAGCTCAGGGAAGTGACTCAAATATACAGCAGTGTGTGTTTGTGTATTAATATCTACATGGACTCTGATAGTTCATGACGCTGTCAACTGTTTGGCTGTGGGCAACACACACACACACCACAGTACATGTTCTAAAAGAAGCAAACAACAAAAAACATACAAGAGAAGATTTTACTTACAGTAAAAAAGAAGCTACAGAAGATTTAGTTGTGTCCCTCATGCATCAAACTGAATCTGTAGGGTTTGGTCTGTATAGGTTTTCTTCCTTTTTTTGACTTATGTCCCTATATTTTATTACAGCTTGTTATATTTGTAATTTTCTGTTACTAATAACATTATACTAACCAAGTTAATTGATAAGAGCTGGGAACATGGTGACAGGTAAAATACCATCTGTCTACCCCCATCAGGCAAACTCCAACCAATCACATCAATGAACCATATAATGTAGTCTGGAAAAGGGCAAACACATTTTCCATCCTAACCATTTGCTATTCTTTAAATTAAGAAATACTGTCCAGGTCTGATATAACTGATGCTACAAACAGTGTCTTCTCTCTGCGTCACACCTAGCGCCCACCCTGTATATTATATATTATATTGCCAGTACTTCCTCAAAGGAAGCTGATTGGTCCGGTACTACTGGAAGATGGATTCTCACATGACATGATCTCGTGAGTCAGCTGCCTTGCAATGTGTTCCTTGCCTTGTCTGATTTATTTTAGCAATGTTTGCGGCAATCTTTGTTCCCATGTCTTAGCAGTTAACTCGGTGAGAATGTTCTCAATGCCAAAACAACAAAAATAAGATCAGACAAATAAATAAACTACATTAAAATTCATTGTGTCTATTGTAACCATATACTAAAGCTGATATATACCTGGATGAATACATGGATGGATGGATAGATACACTGAACAAAATTATAAATGCAACACTTTTATTTTTGCCCCCATTCATCATGAGCTGAACTCAAAGATCTAAGACTTTCTCTATGTACACAAAAGGTCTATTTCTCTCAAATATTGTTCACAAATCTGTCAAAATCTGTGTTAATGAGCACTTCTCCTTTGCCGAGATCCTGGGCTGGTGTGGTTACACGTGGTCTATGGTTGTGAGGCCGGTTGGATGTACTGCCAAATTCTTTGAAACGCCTTTGGAGACGGCTTATGGTAGAGAAATGAACATTCAATTCACGGGCAACAGCTCTGGCGGACATTCCTGCAGTCAGCATGCCAATTGCACGCTCCCTCAAAACTTGCAACATCTGTGGCATTGTGCTGTGTGATGGGACTGCACATTTTCTAGTGGCCTTTTATTGTGGCCAGCCTAAGGCACACCTGTGCAATACCCATGCTGTCTGATCAGCATCTTGATATGCCACACCTGTGAGGTGGATGGATTATCTTGGCAAAGGAGAAGTACTCACGAACACAGATTTTGACAGATTTGTAAACAATATTTGAGAGGAACACAGCCTTTTGTGTACATAAAGAAAGTCTTAGATCTTTGAGTTCAGCTTATGATGAATGGGGGCAAAAACAAAAGTGTTGCGTTTATAATTTTGTTCAGTGTAGATAGCATTTTTCTCCTTGTAATTCTTTGACACAAGATGCTGGCACTAGGCATTATATTGGATCTAAAAATATTGCTTTTTGATCAGTGTTCAGAGCTGCTTTTCTTCAACTACAGAACTCGCTGCCAAATGATGCAAAGCTAAATGTATATTTTGCATTTTTACCAATCCGCTGACCTGGAAACAGTCCCACAGTGCGCTCTCGCTCTCTCTTTCTCTTCTAACGGTAGTCTGAGAAAAACTGCCTGGAGATCATCAGCACTCATCTATCTCACCTCATTTGAGTTTTCTCTGCACTGCCTGACTAAACCTCAGTCTTCACAGTCAGCTGGAGCTGGTAGAGTTGTGTCTCAGCTTTAGGTGTGTAGATAAAAAAAAATTGAACCGATTTTGGTGATGTGCTATACATTTCAGGCTCCATGAAAGGGTGAAAAAAAATCTATCTATCTATTCAGTTATATTATATTGCCATAAGGTCTTCCAAATCTGTGCATTTTGTCTGTTTATTTTGGACATGGAGCGGACTTTTGCACAAAGCAGGTAAACAGCAGTGAAAGTGAAAGAAAGAAATTACTTCCTTTGCTATGTGAGAAATCCATGGAAGAAGAGTAAACACCAAGACCAATTTCTGCACCCGTAGGAGCAAGAAATAGACCAGAATGCACTGCAGACATGCTGTGCAGATTTGCCATCGGGTGTGTTTAATACAAAGGCCTTCTCAAACGTTTTTTTAAAAAAAACCCCAACAAAAACGACGATTTCAGGAAGTATTCTGGGAAACCAGCCGCTGAATCAATGCTTGAGTCTGGTTGAGAGACAGCTGATTGAACAAAGAGCCAACTACAACTCTCCTGGAGTGCACCAAATCTGCTTAGTAATTTATTTGACTGATTGAAATACACTTTAACTGTGGTCCTCTAACATACCTGATGAACACACACATAGTGTACATACAAAGGTTGAGAAACGGCAGGAAAAGTGTCCTTGAAAAGAAGGTTTCTCTTCTCAAGGACACTTTCCCTGCCAATGTTATCATCGTAAGATTACTTCATTGTACAGCAGCGGTGTTACTAACTGAGACTGTCCTCATTTTATACAAAATAAACATGTTAATATAGTGGACCCCATTCTTTTTTGTTAGCCAGTTAAGATTCCTGAATCAAATGCCAACTGTCCATAAACATTTATCAGTAATGCACAGAGCAAAAAGGCTTTTCTGACCAACAGGTAGTTCAGAGAGCTTGAACTTTTGAGCCTGTGAGTGAGCCTCACATTAAACAGACACAAAACATTATCTGTAAATATGGCTGCACACCAAAAGCTTTAAAGTCCAGAAACCAAAGTGACTCCAAGATCTGCTGCTGATGGATGTTGTGTAAACTAGATGTGTTGCTTCATGTCTTCACAGTTCATGCAAAGGCCACTTTCAGAAAACCTTCACCCACTGATACATTTAAAATCAGGTTTTGTTTTCTGGTTTTTAGCTGCTGTATGAAGATGGTGAGCTATGTCCCAGGAGACAGGAAGACCGCCCAAGAAGGAAAACATTTCAGAGCAATTATTTCCTTTATACTTTCTAGTTCTGACAGCTCAAACAGACACACATACACATACACAAGAACAAAGGCACAGTAGAACAGTAGGCTTGTTTCCACCTCACAGAAGCTGAGCAAAGAACAAAGCGCAGACAAATATAGAGCTGCTTGGTTGACCAGGTCGACATCCTGCACTATGTGGGAGTGTGTGCATATTAGAGTCACCGGCTAAGAGAGATGGGAATTGATAAGACTTTATTAATAACAGTGCCCTTATCGGTTCTGCTTATCTGTCTGATTTTTTATTGATTCCCTTATTGAATCCTGATTCCTGATCAATATTCTGTGTGCAAAAAGTAGGCCTATAATGAAGTCTGAACACAGTGTCATAGAGACTAAGGAAGGCATGTATGTAACTGTGGCACTAATGTTATTATAGCAGGATATTTACCCTCAGTAAAGGACGTGCTGCTGGGTTGGGAAGCAGTGGCACTCATGTACAGGGCATTCCTGGAATTTAAGCCCATGTTGCGTTGAAGGGTGTTTCAGCATGTTGCTGGTGTTTCCACTTTTACTTAAAATGATAATTTTACAGACATAGCACTGTCTTCATCTGTCTTTGTGAAATTAAGTGTTGCTTTAGCTTCTGCTTTGACTGGAACCAGTTCTCGATTCCCATTCCAACTCACTAACATGCACATTACTGTATACGTTGCATAACAGAAATAACACCATGCAGCATTTACATTACTACTGAATCTGGCACACAAAGAGTACATATTTTGTGCACAAATTGTTTGTTTTTTTATGTATAATGCATACCTAAAAAATGTTTTTGTTTGTTGCCTTGAATTAATTATTCATGCCCTTGAGTAACTGAACTGTGCCCTAAAATTACATAATTCCCTAACGTTAAAAGACCAATAGCAAGTGACGTCACAGGTTGTAGTGGCAGGCATCCGGGGTGTTGGTTAGCTAAAGTTAGGAACCAGCTGGAGCTGAAAGTGGAACCTCTAGCAGGGTAAATCTGGGTGGGGAAAGTAAAAAGCTGCAGTTGTACCTCCCCATCATTACCATAACTGAGGTGACAGCAGATCAGACTGGTTTTACTGGACAGCTTTCAGGTGTGAATATGTAACTGTGTGAATGTTATCAAAAAGAATTTCTCTTAGTGAAACCCTGAATAAATAAAGAAAGAGAATGCTAATGTTGCTCTGTGCTCTGAATGTGTACGCAAATGTTTCTTGACAGCTCATAATTTTTTACTGTGCTTTCCTTCTTTGTATCAAGTAATGACTTTAATGAATACAATATTATAACCAATGGAAATGAAGACCTATCTTGTAATATACTTGAGTTATTATTTAGATATAATTTACAGTAGTGATTCTGTTTTGATATTTTGTGCACACAATGTGTATTTTGTAACCACATTATGTTCAAGTTCAAGTGACAAAGCCCTCCTCCATGTGAGGAGAAGAATGGATGGATCAATAAAACATTGGACTGGGAGACCACTGTTTGTTTCCCATTTCCAACAGTTAATGTTGTTTTTTTTTAACGTATGAACATGATCATCCCCTGACTTTAACCACATGTATGACAACAAAGCTCTCCTAACCATATAACCAAAGTATCTTTTTCCCTAAACCTAACCAAGCTGTTTCTGTGCCTAAACTTAACCAAACCATAACCATAGCATTGCCACGTCATAAAACTGATTTATTTCTCAACTGTGATTTATAATGTCTGTGGAGGGCACAGACAAATGGTGTTGGGGAGATCAGAAAACGCCTTTATGTGTTGTTCTAGACTGTAGTTACAAACGACACACACAAATCGTGTGTCCATTTCATAGGAAAACATGGACCAAAGCTCTGCTGTATGAACAGGAGGGGGATGGACACACACATGAGATCAACAGACGGTGAGCAACACTCACGCATACCTACACAGCCTCACCCAAACACACATGTTTGTACATCTATACTTGTGAGGACCATTATTGATACTGCGCATTCTGAAGCTCTTAACCTAAACCTAATTCTAACCTTAAGCCTAAAAGGAACAGCCATTTGAAGATAAGATTTCTTCCCAAATTAGATTTAAAGCTGAAATTGGTCATCACAGTGACTGAGGTGCAAGAATACACACACAAGCACACGCACACACACACACACACACAGTCACGAGCTCTAGCAGCATTCAAACACAAACAGAGATGGGCACCAAGGAGAAAAAAATCTCAGTGTCGCTGTGTCCTGACAATTGAGGCTATTGTTCAGTCCAGTAAACACATCCTGTCAGAGAAACAATTGTAGTGAATTCAATGGTGATGTCACGTAGGTTGTCCATTTGAATTTCATTTTTAAATGTCATATTTGTGTGAGGAGAGGAAACCAGACAAGTAGACACACAGACAGACAGAAAAAAAATCTTCACTGAAACTCCTCCTTCACTCCTCCTGCCGATCAATCTGATCAATATTCAGTCATCTGCCACAAACAGTGTGTGTGTGTGTGTGTGGATAAGGTTAATTCAGGCTCTACCTGTGTGCGTGGCACAATCGGGAAGAGGTTAAGGGTCGTTGGTCTCTTGGGTCGGTAAGTATCCATAGTTACAGTTGCTGCAGGGACCTTGGTAACTGGTGGGGGTGCGATGGCGGACGCCTTCGAGGACTCTTTGTCACCGCGGTAACCGTCAGCACCGTCGATGAGTTCCAAATGCAGCATCTCTGCCTGGAGGTGGCCAACGGCACCCAGCTCTGCCCTCCCCGACATGCTATTGGTTCCTCGCCTCACATGGCCCTGCAGGGATTGGAGGAAGCACACAGTCAGTTAAGGCAGAGAAAGGGAGAGAGACGGACACTGAGAGAGAGAGAGAGAGAGCGTGTGTGGATGGGATGAGGAGATTGAGCTGGCCAATTAGAAGCTGCTCTGTCTTCAGCTTGTAACACTCTCACTGCCAACACTGAGCTGCTTAAAGCAGAGAGCAGTGACTTTTCGCAGCATCCTCCATACAACAGCATACCTACAGTAATGTAGTGAGAATAAAAACTCATTCCGCTCTGCGTATCAGGGTTCAGTTTCACATCTTAGACATGTATATCAGCCAGGGCTAAGATACAAAGAGCTGATTTAGATGAACAGCCTCTCTTCATATATCCCACGAGGCAATTTGTTGTTCAAAGACAACTCAAACAAGCAGAGCAGTCATTTTATTTTCTGATGACATTTACTTTGAATGTCTTTTACATCACTGCAGAAATCAAAGCAAGTGACAAGCCCAAGCTTCAGCTGAGAGACAGTAAGTCAGAGGTCACTGGGACAGTACAGTCTGCTCCACTTCCCATCACTGTCCCTGCAGCTACACACACACACAGAGCACACGGTAACTCCTCCTGTCGGCTGATGTAGATGCTTTGACTTGGACAACAGACTCACTGTTAAGCCTATTACAGTCTTTAGCTCCCTCTTTGCTCCACAAGTATGAACAGATACGATGCAAACACACAAACATGCGTATACAGTAATGCTCAGACACATATGCAACACCAAAGTCTCTCAACCTCATATGAACTACAACACACATGTAGAATTGCATCAAAGTGTATCTGACAGAATTATGGATCAGGTTAGAGTCACTTAAAAAGGTTTCTAAACCTCAAATATCTATTATTATTACTGTCACATGACAGCAAGAGTCTTTTCCTCCTGATATGACTTACATTCTGGGTGAACAGCATTCACATACATTTTTAAGAGCTATGTCAGATCTGATCCAGAGACAAGAGATCAACAATGTAGCAGCTGTGTGAACACTCAGCTGCCATGATAACAACATTCACCACAGTCTGGACTATTTCAGCGAACGTACTAAAAAGAAAACCAAAAAGAAAACCTTCTTTAAGAGCTGTACCAGAAAGAGGAGATCAGCAATTTAACAGTTGTGTTAACACTCAGCTGCCATGATAACAACATTCACCACAGTCTGGACTACTTCAGCAGAGAAGATCAGTGATAGCAGAGTGGCGAGGTAAACTAAACTCCTTTGACATTAATCTTTATTCTACATCCATTTATAGCCTGAGAAATAATCATTTCCAGGAACGAAGCCAAAGTCATATGTACAGTATTTAAACCATACAACATACAGCATGGATGTTTATTTAAACATGTAAATACCTCCATGCTGGCTGTACTGTACATTGGTGAATGGTTGTATTATGAAGATTATTATATGTGTTTCCTGTAAATGAAGCAGAGTGGGTATTAATGTGTGTACAGCACAGATGCAGACAGTAAGCTGACTCACAGTTGGTGAATGGAATGGAGGTTAATCCTATTCCATCGGCTAAGTGTTGCCTTCAAGCACATTTGTATGCAGCGAAACACCAATCAACAGATATCCAGAGGTCTCACTAAAGAAAGAAAGAGGCACGTGTCTGAGAGGGGGCTGCTGTAATGATTTGGTAAATAGCTACAAACCTTGAATTTGGATTACAATGGGTGTTTGTAGCTGCATTCCTATTCAGGAATCAAATCCTTGAAAGTCCACATTCAGACTTAATACCAAAAATAAAAAAAAAAAGCTCTATGAAAAATAGAGACATAAGAAGAAGTAAGGGCAGAAAAAGTATTTGTACATAGAGTTCATAGCTATTGCGGTTTGTCAACTTTTTGTTTATTGCCCCAGTCTTAAAGCCTTTGATGTTAAGACGAATACAGTAGTCCAAGGATTACTTTCAAATGGGATGATTCTGCAGCACAGGACAGGATTTACACCAAATGCCAACACTCAGTATCAACGCAATAAGAAATGTGTCTCCCCGAGACAACAATCAATGTCAGCCTTTGTACTTCTGTGCTAGGATCTTGGCATTTTTTGTTGCATTTTAATTGCCAACATTAAAATATACAGTAATGTTTGGTGAGTGACTTCATATCACAGCCACTAATTAGTTATAACTGCCTCCAACATCCATCCATCCATCCATCCATCCATCCAGAAATCTTCACTGTCCAGCCATCCATCATACATCAATCATGCATCCATCTGCCCATTCATCTGTCTAATCTGCTCGTCCTGTCCACCCATCTATCATCCATCCATCCATCCATCCATCCAGCAATCTTCACTGTCCAGCCATGCATCCATTCTGCCGATCTTGTCTATCTATCCGTCCACCAGGCACACATCACTCATCCACCCATCCATCCATCCATCATCTCTCCATCCGTATTCCATCCATCCATCTGTATTCCATCCATCCATCAATCATCTCTCCATCCGTATTCCATCCATACATCTGTATTCCATCCATCCATCAATCATCTGTCCATCCGTATTCCATCCATCATCTGTATTCCATCCATCCATCCATCTGTATTCCATCCACCCATCCATCCATCCATCATCTGTCATCCATATTCCATCCATCCATCCATCCATCCATCTATCCGTATTCCATCCATCCATCCATCCATCCATCAATTATCTCTCCATCTGTATTCGATCAATCTGTATTCCATCCATCCATCAATCATCTGTCCATCCGTATTCCATCCATCCATCTGTATTCCATCCATCCATCCATCCATCCATCCATCAATTATCTCTCCATCCATATTCCATCAATCTGTATTCCATCCGTCCATCCATCAATCATCTGTCCATCCGTATTCCATCCATCCATCCATCATTCATTCATGCATGCATCCATCAAGCCATCTATCCATCCATTCTTCCAATCCTGTCCATTATCCATCCATCCATCCACCTGCTCATGTATCTGTCCATCTATCCATTCATCCTATCTATCTTCATCTAGAAATCACCCATCAATCATCTATCTATCATACATCAATCATGCATCCATCTGCCCATTCATCCGTCTAATCTGCTCGTCCTGTCCACCCATCTATCAATCATCCATCCATCCATCCATCCAGTACCCATAAATCACTACCTTATCTTATGAGCTGTCAGAAGATGTTCCTGTTACAACAGTCACATTACACCACTGTCTGTGTCTGTAATTACAGTGCAGCCACTCTCCCGCCATCGCCATCACCCCCCCCGTTGACCTTTTCACCTGCTACAGATCGATACCTGCTAATGCAGTGGCTTCTTCTCTTTCTCTCATGTTTTATGACCTCAATTATGACTGGCCCCTTTAAGAGAACCCCGGCCCTGTTGCTAGGAGACAAGGGGCTCAGTGACGACGAGGAGGATGAGGAGAGAGCTGCTGCCCTGAAGATGCTGTGATGCTTGGGTCTCCTCCAATCAGAGCAGCCCGAGCAGGGCAGACACACAGCCAACAGGTCAGATACAACAAACACAAGACTGAAAATGCTAAATCACTCACAGCCTGATGCAAAGCTCTGTCTGATGGTAAAAAGATAACAACCAAAACAATCAGTAAAATTAACAACAATAAATAAAGAGAAAAGTCAAAAAAGACAATATGTAATGCCAAGATTGGGTGTAGATTTGCTGTAAATGGGACATCAGAATCCAAAGTATCAAATATCTACATCATAAATACATAAAGGACCTGGTAAATAAATGAATTAATAATAATAAAATAATAAAAATAATAATAATAATAATAATAAATTAAAAAAAGCTCACTATCATTTGAAGTTTAGATTTTTCATTTGTTTGATGTAAAATAAATCATTGATGCAAATTATGAGATATTACAAAAATCTAGATATCCACTTGTAGTGACAAACACAGAATTACAAATACTACTACCACAAATACTGCAGTACCAGTCCTCTATACAGAATATTTGGCATATTTCATCTGATTGTTTTGTTTTCCTGGCCCACAAAACAAACCTTTAGATAAACCTTTTTGTATGCTGGTTCGGCACCAAACACCAGACAGACAAAGTTAACAACTAGCTGGAGAAGAAATTGAATTTCTAGCTGCTAAAGAGCCAGATATTTTTATCCAGAGAATACCACAGAACCACAGAATAACTAAATAGAGAACGAACACCAGACATTCATCAGGTGGACAAAAACAGTCTAAATGAATGCTACTATTGCTAACTGTTTTGAACTGTTGAACTTAAAGAGGTGATATGTTAATATATTCGTTCTTTACTGAAATATCAGTAAACAACAACAACAACAACACAGGACAGTGAACGATGCTCTAAAGAGGACCACAGACACGGAGGGCTTCTCTTGTTTTTGTTTGTGTTTATGAGGCAGCTTCCTCTTTGCTGTTACCATGTGTGGATGAGATGACGCGAGCAGTATCCATGGGGGCAGCGTGTGTGTGTGCGAGCATGTGTGTGTGCGCGTCAACACTGACACTGTGTTGCATGTATTTTCAGCTCTGACACGTGCAGTAGGTGAGAGAAACACTGTTGCCATGGCAATAGGTCTCCTTCTCCTCTTGTAAATGTTTTGCTGGACTCTCTCTCCTATCCCCCCTCTCTCTCACTATGTCTCCCTCTCTCTGTGTCTCAGCTCTCTCGTCTTTCTATCTTGTTCTATTGCGCCCTCTCTCTCTGTATATCTCCCTCCCTGCTCTTCTCTGGGTTAATGAGATCTGTTTATACTAACAGGTAATGATGTAGTAGTTAGTAACATATAGTAAAAGTTCAATAAAATCAATCATCTTCATTGGTACAAAAGGTTTTGACAGTCATCATATATATGAATACAAAGTTGAGTAAGAGGGGTCTTTTTGTGTGTAACATTCTTTAGATATTTTATTTTTACTGAAATTGTGATTTTTCGGATGTACTTCATGGCTTCTGGAATATTGTTTGAGGTTTATATTCATA